CGTTAACAACCATATAAACATATGAACGTAAAATCTAAAAAATACGGTAGTTGTAAAACTATGAATTGCAATGGATCGAATAACTATATATATAGATAAAAGTTTTAGGGCTTCACTTATTCGATAGTAGCTAGGGTTTGTTTTACTAACATATTATTTTATGGACTTAAAATATGGGATTAACACTATATTTTATGGGTTTAATATGATCTGACCCAATAAAATATTAAAAAATGGCCAGGGGTATTTTGGTCAAGAAAAATCGATGGCACAAGTAGTAATTAGGATGATTTTATTAAGGGTATCCCTGTAATCAACCACTCTCAAATTCATTCTGAGAGCATCACGTAGGATTTTGCACTTCATATATAATTATATAGATTTACTTGCCTAGTTTATAAGTATAATTATTTTATAAGCCAAAACCAAAACCAAAATCGAACCGGATTGGACATCAATGGAATAAACCGGACTCTCAGTCGATTCAATTACAAATGATAGGATAAACTCTTTTGGGACAGAGACGACGAGCTTTTTAGTTTCACTATGTCCCTCTTGCAAACGAATTTCCTCACTTGTTCATTTCTCTCATCGAGCAATGACCTGCGAATTCCTTATTCTAGAGCGGTACTCTCTTACCCTCGTCTCCAAACACACCGAATTCTCTGTGCTGCGAAGCGAACCGGTAAGCGAAGATACCCTTCAGAGAGGAAGAAGCTAAGGACAGAGCAGAAGGAAGCTGTGGCGAAAGTTAAGAACAAGCTCGAAGGTGTTTGGCGTCTCTCTAAGCTCGGTGTTCCTGTCGGAGATGACCCTGGAAAAGATTTTCTCGGTATTTCAGATGGTTTGCTTCAAGCCATCGCTAAAGTTATCGAGTTTCCGGTGAGTTTTGGCTTATTATGAAACGGGTCGGTGGAAAAATCGAAACTTTACGGGATTTTTGGAGCTAGTTGATGTTATCTGATGATTGAAATTTATGAATTTGACTGGTGGGTGTTTCAGGTTGCTTCAATGTTGCCAGAAGAAGCATTTTCAGTGGTTAGGAAATCTTTTGACGCTAGGAAGGTAGGTTTCAATTTGATTCCACGTATTTGTTGTTGTTATAGTTTCAAGTGAGTGAATTGTTTTCATTTTTTGTTGTTCAGATTCTGAAAGAAGCCAAGTTTGTGTATACTGTGGATTTGGATGTGAAGACACTTCTTGAGTTAGAGCCTCGTGCTGAAGATTTCATTTTCCGGTTAGAGCCTAAGATTGGGCTTATTGAACATGTATCTCCCGAGAAGATCGTTTCGGGTGACTTAATCAGTGTAGTAAATGATTGTAAGAGAATAAACAATGATGCATCATCTGGAGAATCTGATCCTCGGGTTATCAATGGCACTGGAGATCCACACCAGCATGGAGGGGGAAGAAGCAAACCGAAGATCGCAGTTGTTGGTGGTGGTCCGTCTGGTTTGTTTGCAGCTCTTGTTCTTGCTGAGTTTGGTGCAGAGGTGACATTGATTGAAAGAGGGCAAGCAGTAGAAGAAAGGGGACGTGATATAGGCGCTTTGGTAGTTCGTAAGATTTTGGATATGGAGAGTAATTTCTGCTTTGGGGAGGTCTAAAAAACCTTCTCTTTAACTCAACTTATCATTAAATACTTCAATCTTGTAGCTAGTTTTCTCGTTTTGTTTGTTATTGTCAAAGTTATATTTTAGCACTTATGGATTGCAGGGTGGTGCAGGTACCTGGAGTGATGGAAAGCTTGTTACTCGAATAGGGAAGAACAGTGCCACTGTTTTAGCGGTTAGGATTTTGAGACTCCAAATTGTTAAATAAGAGCACTCCATGTTTGGTAGAAATGAAAAAAATGTGACCATTGCTTTGATTGTTACAGGTGTTGAAAACGTTGGTTCGCTTTGGGGCTCCTGATAATATATTGGTCAATGGAAAGCCTCATTTAGGAACGGATAAGCTAGTTCCCTTACTCCGTAATTTCAGACATTATCTTCAAAGCGTGGGAGTAAGTTTAAAACAAGGGATTGATTTTAAGTCTCTTTTACTTTTAGATGCTTTTATGCCTTTATCTCCTGTGAGCTCCATTTTAATTACATATGCTTATTTAGGTGAGTATCAAGTTTGGTACTCGGGTAGACGATCTTCTGGTAGAGGATTCTCGCGTTGTTGGAGTCAGAATTTCGGACTCAACAGACCAAATGCAGAGTACCTCCCAGAATTTAAAATATGATGCAGTTGTTCTTGCAGTTGGTCACTCAGCACGTGACACATATGAGATGCTTCTTTCTCGTAACGTGGAACTGACACCAAAAGATTTTGCAGTAAGTTTCTTTTGAATATATATGTTTTCAGTTTAATCTTTGGCTTGGTTTTTATCATTTGATCTCTATATGTCTGTTTGGACCAGGTTGGTTTGCGCGTTGAGCATCCTCAGGAGCTAATTAACAGTATACAGGTTGGTTTGGTTACGTTAACACCAGATATCGTCATTATATCAATCAAATCCGATGAATTGTTTGAGATTGTGATGCTCTTCTTTTCTACTGGTATGTATGTAGTACTCAGATTTAGCTAGTGAAGTTCGTAAAGGACGAGGTAAAGTACCAGTGGCGGATTATAAGGTTGTTCAGTATGTAAATGAAGAGGCTGAGGATCTCTCGCAGTCTTCATCAAGACGTAGTTGCTACTCCTTTTGCATGTGTCCTGGTGGTCAGGTACAGTTTTCTTATAGTGTGTATTGCTGTTTTTCTTCGGTTTGTCATGAATAAGCCTGTTTCCATGTAATTTCAGGTTGTTCTCACAAGCACAAACCCAACCGAACTCTGCATCAATGGCATGTCATTTTCTCGCCGTTCATCCAAGTGGGCTAATGCTGCACTTGTTGTCACTGTCTCAGCAAAAGACTTTGATCTTCTCAATCTTAGTGGACCCTTAGCTGGAATTGAGTTTCAGGTATCAATCTGAAAGTGGAATACTATTACTACTCTTGAGTCGTATTCGATATTTCTCCTTTGATTTCTGTTTTTCTTTAGAGAGAGTTTGAAAGAAGAGCTGCTATAATGGGAGGTGGCAACTTTACAGTTCCTGTACAAAGGGTTACTGATTTTCTGCAAAACAAGTTATCTGGTAATAGCATTTTCCTTAATGTACTCAATTTTATTTGATTGTTCGACTTTTAGTTTGTTTTTGGTGATTTGGATATTCTTGTGCTGTTAAAACAGAAACACATTTACCTCCATCAAGCTATAGATTAGGAGTGAAGTCTGCAAATCTGCATGAACTGTTTCCTGCTCATATCACAGATTCTCTGCGACAGTCCATCTCTATGTTTGAAAAAGAGGTTGGTTAGATTTTTTTTCTCATTGCTATAAACCAAAAATCCGGTAGCTTCTGTTTTTCTCTAAACACTTGAACTTTCAGTTACCGGGATTCATCTCAGAGGAAGCACTCCTCCACGGCGTAGAGGTATAACATTATATTACATCTACCTTGCCCTGAATCAGTGTACTCTTCAGACAAGAGATAACGATGTTTCAAATTTATTTTAACTAGACAAGAACAAGCTCTCCTGTACGGATACCTCGAAGCAATGAGACATACGAGAGCACGAGCTTAAAAGGTTTATACCCAGTTGGTGAAGGAGCTGGTTATGCTGGTGGGATTGTAAGTGCAGCAGTGGATGGTATGTTTTCGGGTTTTGCTGTTGCGAAAAGCTTTGATCTGTTTGATGGAACAGTAGAGTCAGTTATTGGAAAGTCTCAAGGTGCTGGACTTGTCAAGTAC